AGACGATCGAGGGGTCCCGTACCATGCGGAATCGACCCTATCCAGTGCTCAAGTGCTCAAGCAATGATAACTTTCACAGCCGGGCGAAACGAATCGTGTGGGGGTGCAACCGCGCCACGCAGCCCCCGGCGCAGACTATAGTCGAGCGCGTCGGAGAGGTGTTTGCGCTCGGGCGCAACCCATTGATGCAGCATGGTGAACTGGGCTGGCGACACGCAGCCGAGCGTCAGGTCGTGTGTGAGTGAGCAGACGGTGAGCAGCGTCCCTGCGCGGCGGAGAACGACTCGGTCGACGACGGCAGCAACGCACGCCGAGGGAGTCGCCGACGCCCTCTCTGCTGTGAGAGTCTACCGCGAGAACACGACCATCGTCGACCGCGAGGAGAAGGTCCTCCTGGCACAGCTGGAGGGCAACGAGGCGCTCCCTTCGTCCCGCTCGGCAAAGTCTCACCTCGGCGAGCGATCATCTTGGGGCTCCTCCACCAACGGCCGCTACTCGCGCCTCGGCGACATGGAGGCGGGTGCCATCGCTGAGGTCGATGAGGCACTCTGTGAGGGCTGCGTGCCCACCGACCACTCGTGGGTCTGGCCAAGTATGGCCCGTCTTCGCGGCGTACTCCTCAATGAACTGTACCTACACACGCACACACACACACACAGAGAGAGAGAATTCTTGATACGAAACCACGACGACACACACCAGTCGACTCGCATCGGTTGCCTCCATGAACGGCGGAGCTATTCTCGCGCCCACACCACACCTGGCTCCAACGTGGACACGCCCATAGCTGGGGACACTACTAGGTCACGCATGGCATCACAGAAGTTTTATCTCTGGGCCCCGAAAGGCATCTCTAGCAGTGTCGTTACACATGCCCCCTCCCCTCCTGGGCGCATGCGCCTCACGTCTCGCCAGAGCATAAGCCCTTGGCGTGTGGCGAGACGAGTTTTTCGCCATCGCAGCGAGCAGCAACCCGCCCGCCGCAAACAGCCGGAGGCCTCGCCGCGGCACTGGCTGCGCCGCGGTCCCGCACCCGTCGACGCAGCTCCCCCCGCGGAAGACCGCGCGTAGCAACGTCTTGACGATCGAGATGAGCGTGCCTGAAGCTCGCCCACCTACTGCCCCTGAGAGTTGGTTATTGAGTGGGATCAGCTCCCCCCCTTGGGATCGAAGCCGCCACATCCTCACACCCAACATCCCAGGCGGGATCAGAAGGGGACTCCACACCGGACACGCCCGGGGCACAGCCCCCCTACCCGTCGGATCGCACAG